ATCAGCTTATCAACATTAGTTGGGAGTAGGGTTTTCATAGAATCATTAAGTAAAACCTTAGGAAATTTAGGCCTGTTAGTGGTGGCACAAGCACCCGGGAGGGAAAGGAAGTTGAATCTCTGTGAGTTCAAGGTCAGCCTGGTCTACAGAGCTAATTTCAGGACAGCCCTAGCTGTCCTAAAACCCTGTCTTGAAACAAACAAACAAAAAAGCTTAGGAAATTACCTAGTTCAGTTTTCTGATAGATAGCTGCATGTACAAAACAATTAAAAACATGGTTTGTGAGGCGGGGTGGTGATAGCACATGCCTTTAATCCTAGCACTTGGTGGCAGGAGGCAGAGGTAGACGGATCTCTGTGAGTTCGAGGTTAGTCTGGTCTACAGAGAGTTCCAAGACATCCAGGGCTTGTTAAACAGTAAAACCCTCCCTGTCTTGGGAGGGTAGGGAGAATCCAGCTCTTATGTGCCAAGACTAGAACACAGAGAGAAGAAATTTCAGGGCCAGCTGTGGTGGTACACATGTGTAATGCCAGCATTAGGGAGGTAAAGGCAAGATTGAAAGTTTAAAAACAGACTGGGTTATATAAAAGCTCAAGACCATGAACTACATAATGGACTCTATAATTTTTAACAATGTTTCATTTCTTTGTGTGCAAGAGTGCATGAATGTATACAGAGCACATGTGGAAATCATAGCACAGCTGTTGCAAGCCTGTTCTCTCCTGGTGTCAAGCACCTTTACCTACTGAACCACCTCACAAGCCTGTCTAAAATGTAAGGTCAACACTAACACTGTGCTTATCCGTTGCATATGATGTTGTATAGGACATAAAACATACACTAGCTGGAGGTCCTGAGTTTAATTCCCAGCACCCACATGGTGACTCACAACTATTTATAGTGGGATCTGGTGCCCTCTTCTGGCATAAAAGTATACATGCAGATAGAGCATCAAATAAACAAACATAAACTGGCTAAATCTATAGTCTACATTTGTATTACACACTTCCCTCTTCTCTCCCCAAAGTCAGGGTATTTCCATGGAGCTGGATTTCTCTCATTACATTTCTTTCTATCTTCCTAATCCCTTACTAAGAAACATGGACTATCTTGTCATGGTGTCTAACATTTTTTTGTTTTGTTTTGCTTTTGTTTTGAGACTGGGTTTCTCTGTGGCTTTGGAGCTTGTCCTAGAACTAGCTCTTATAGACCAGGCTGGTCTTGAGCTCAGAGACCCGCCTGCCTCTGCCTCCCAAGTGCTGAGATCAAAGGTGTGTGCCGCCAGCACCCGACTGGTGTCTAACATTTTTAATCCTAGCACACAGAAGGCAGAGAGAGGCAGGCAGAGCTCTACAGAGCAAGTTCCAGGACAACCAAGGCAATCAGACAAACTGTCTCAAAAGTTGAAAAAATGAAAAAGAAACATGGAAATAGGGACACAGTGAGACCCTGCCACAAACTGTAAGAGGGGGCTAGAGAGGTGACTCAGAGGTTAAGAGAGTATATATGCCACTCCTCAGAGACCCAGAGACGGGCTCCCAGCAACCACATCAGCTGAAAGACTCACAACTGCCCATAACTCCAGCTTCCTTCCAACACCCTCTTCTGGCCGGATAAGACACCGGCACACATGTGGCACACGTGAACTCAGACAAACACATACACCCACATATATAAGAATAATTTTTAATTTTAAAAAAATTAAATATGCCATGGACTACATTAGCTGAAGCCTCTCCAAAGAGGAGGGAGAGGAGATGAAGATGATGTGGGTGTGGTAACAGGGACATGGGTGAAGGTGAACGCAGGGGGAGGGCCCTAAGGACGTTCAGGCCAGACAGCAAGCTGTAAGTTCAGCAAGTGACCCTGAATCCAAGAATAACTGAAGCTCGACCTCCAGCTTCAGCAGGCAAAAGACACATACACTCCCAACCCCCATCCCCACCCCCACACAAAGGTTAGGGTAAATGTTAGGTTAAAATGAACATGTACCTTAAGTACAAGCAAATTTTTTAAATCATAAATATTTAAATATTCATGAAAATTACTGGTTCCTCAAAAATCTTCCTCTCCAGAAAAATGTCAATACCATGAACTGTGACTTTCAGGGGCTGACATTCATTATACCAGAACAAACAAGAACCACCCAGACCCAACTGCTCCATTTATAAAACATTCAGTCCTCAATGTTGCCCAATTAGAGCATAACCCATAATGAAGACATTATTGCTGACAAGAGAGGCAGAATGGGATCTGGGTCATTCTTCCCTAACTCTATTAGTTCCTCTCAAACCAATAAAGGGAAGTCTGTGTTAGCAAAGTATTCAGCAATCATGACGTAATTCATTGCCATCAGCCTGTCCACATAAGAAAAAGGTAGAGGTAAAAGATACTTAGTGGATAATTGAGAAATCTCTCTAATGGTGACTTATATTAGTGTTCCTCCCTCTTGGGACTGAGTCATCACCACCACAAGTACTAAGTCAGTGGGCCACAAATACCACAGGGGTACTGGCAACAATAAACTGGTACTGGGACAGAAGGTTCTAGGCCCTGGGATAAGTCTTTTTCACTCCTAATCTCTGAATCCTCTCAACCGTTTTATGAAGCAGAGATGGACCGGACTGGTGTACAGCCTGTGAGCACTAGCTCGGATGTGAATTTCCACAGAGAAGCAGTCTTCCCTTGAAAGCCAACCAAAGGGCCTGCCTCAAGATGGCTTCTCCAGTGAGAAGCTTGCTGCTACCAACACCAGTTCAACCCCAGGGAACAGTGTGGTAGGAGGAGAGAATCGGGTCTTAAAAATTGTAAGGATATCCATACACAAGCAGTAGAATACACAAACACATGATTTTTTTTTAAAGCCAACAACAACAAAAATACACTACTCTAGCAGGGCAGGGGCACCAGGCTTTAACCCCAGCACTTAAGAGGCAGAAGCAGGTAAATCCTTGTCTACAGATTGGAGTTCTAGGACAGCCAGGGCTACACAGAGACTTCGTCTCAAAAAAAAAAAAAAAACAAGTGTGGAGTGGTGGCACATGCCTCTCATCCCAGTACTCGGCAAGCAGGGGCAGGCAGATCTCTGAGTTCAAGGCCAGCCTGGTTTACAAAGTTCCAAGTACACAGTGAAACCCGGTCTTGAAAAACTTAAAAAAAAAAAAAAAAAAAAGGAAGAAAGGAAGGAAGGAAGAAAGGAAGGAAGGAAGGAAGGAAGGAAGGAAGGAAGGAAGGAAGAAAGGAAGGAAGGATTCTATAGGCATTCTAGAAGCCCTCACTGGCTTCTACACATTATAAGTCACCATGGGCCTAGTGGTGGTGGCACCCGCCTTTGATTCCAGCACTCGGGAGGCAGAGGCAAGCAGATCTCTGTGAACTTGAGACCAGCCTGGTCTACAAGAGCTAGATCCAGGACAGCCTTCAAAGCCACAGAGAAACCCTGTCTCAAAACACCAAAAAAAAAAAAAAAAAAAAAAAAAAAGTCACCATGGTTGGAATATTCCTCTGAAACTATGTTTAAGTTTAAATGCTGTATACTCATGTGTGGTATGGGTTGTGCACATGGTATTCTTAGAGGCCAACAGAGTGTGTTGGATCCCTGGAACTAGGATTACATACAGACTTACAGACAGTTGCAAGCCTCCTAACATGAATGCTGGAAATTGAACTTGGGTCATTTGCAAGAACAATGCACTGCTCTAAACCAACAACCCGCCCTGCCCCACCCATACTTGATCTTCACATTCATATGCTAATGTTCTCAAAGTGGACCCTACAAGCAATTGAGATAAGGTCATCAAAGTGGAGCCCAGTAAAGGGAGAGGTGGCTTATCGAGTCAAGACACTTGAGCAGGACAGCAGGAGACACACACACACACACACACACACACACACACACACACACACACACACCAGCCCTTAGATGCTCAGATACAAGGGAGAGGTGGCTTATCGAGTCAAGACACTTGAGCAGGACAGCAGGAGACACACACACACACACACACACACACACACACACACACACACACACACCAGCCCTTAGATGCTCAGATACATTTCCCAGTCTCTAGACCTATGAGCAAAATGAACTTTTATTCATCATAAATAAGTTACTTGGGTATTTTGTTACAGCAACAGATAATGGACTAAGAAGCATATATAAGAAAACCAAAAGAGAGGCCATTGAAAGAATATTGTCTCTGTAAAAAAGAAAAGTTCCCTCAATACTGAAAATACATAGTCCCTTATTTGTCACATTATTCTTGGTTTGCTAAGTGCCCTCCTGCAGACCACTGTTCTACGCTGTTCTTCCTACTACTACTACTGACAGTGCTGGTAGGCAATCCCCTGCAGTCTCATTTCATTCTCCCAACCACTGTTCCCATTGTACAGATGAGGAAACTAAGGCTCAAGGGAAAGGAAAATGAATTTGGCCCAAATCTTACTCCACAGTCCCAGTGCCTCAGAAAGCTGAAGCAGGAGGATCACCAGAATCAAGGCCAGCCTGGACTACCCAGCAGGCCCTGTCTCAAAAAACCAAAAGGTGCGCAGGTGGTAGTGGTGCACGCCTTTAATCCCAACACTCAGGAGGCAGAGGCAGGAGGATCTCTGTGAGTTCAAGGCCAGCCTGGTCTACAAAAGAAGCTACAGGACAGCCAGGGCTACACAGAGAAACCCTGCCTCGAAAAAAAAAAAAAAAAAGAAAGAAAGAAAAAAAGGTAGGCCAGGCATAGAGGCAAACACCTACAATCCCAGTGCTTGGGAAGCTGAGGCAGGAGGCCAGCTGAGCTATGGAGTGAATTTCTGAAAACAAAACAAAAAAAACTAAGTATGACTCTAGGCAACTTAAGGCTTCTGAACCCTTGGCTTTTACTGCTTCTATGGGACACTCCTGGACTGTTTTGGGGAGCAACCTCCCAACAGAAGATCAACACAACAGAAGTCCAGGAGTCCTATAATGGCAGGTCACTTACCTGAATCTCTTCATTTTCATCTACCAGGAGGAAGCTCACAACCCTCTCTGTCATCTTCTTCCTCTTGGTCTCCTCATCCATCTCTTCCCCGTCCAAGGATTCCTGGACCTTACTGACAAGGTACACAGTAATGGGGTGTCTCCTCTTGTTACCTCCTGAATGAGTCCTCTTCTGGCAATCCAGGCACAGATTGATCTTGCAGGTCTGGCACCTCACAGCTGCCCTCTGCCTAACACCTGGCGAATGCCCATTGGGGCCCTTGCAGGGGTCACAGTAAGGGACGTGGCCAGCTTTGAGCCTTATCCGCTCATGGTTTCGTAGACGCTCTTGCCTATGCAGCTCCTCCTCACAGCGGAGACACTGCAAACTGCAGCACTCATCACATTCGAAGACAGCTTCGTCAGTCCCACTGCAGGCATAACTCTCCTGGCACATGAGCCCTGGATTCAGGCCCTTCTCTGCTGGGGAAGTCTGGGCACTCATAACTTAGACTTGTCTAAAAACCACACACCCTAGAACACTTGCTATTGCACTCTCCCAGGAATGAAGGAAGACAAAGGCTTTGAGTCGGAAGTGGCTAGTACTTCCACAGGGTTCTGAACACTTTAAAAAGGAAAACCTGTCCGGCTAAGAATTTATGCACAATCAACAAATGTTCAAATGTTTAACAGTCTGCCTCCAAGTCTCCTGAATCAGCACCGATGTCGACTGAGTTTGAAGGTTTCATTCTCCGCAAAGGATAGAGAAAGTTGCTGTCTCTGATGCACACTAAGAGGTCTCTGCATTCACAAAGGCAGGTACATCAGTTGGGCCTCGGCCTTAAATTGTAGTGATGAAATAAAGTGGTGAGGAGCTATTCCATATACGTGAACCTCAAGCCAATGTTTCAAGGGCTTCCTAGAATAGGGGAAGAGGGTTTCACTCATCTGGAAGCAAAAGGAGAAGTGCACCTTAAAATGAACAAACAAAAAGAGCACCTAAATGCCAGTCCACTTTGGGGAATCTAGTTCTTGCACATACAACTTACAATGGCTTATTCCAGGACCAGAAATTTTATCTCAAAATGATGGTTAAGGAGCTTCCTCATAAAAGCAATCTCTATGCTAGGTACGGTGGTAAACCTGTGACTCAAAAGGCTGAAGCAAGGCTACTGAACTACCTACAAAAAGTCTTATCTTAAAAAAAAAAAAAAAAAAAAAAACCCAGCCTACAGGCATCTGCACTTGGAAGGCAGAGGCAGGTGGACCTCTGTGAGTTCCAGGCCAGCCAGGGCTACCTAGACAGACCCTGTCTCAAAACAAACATCTATCAACAACAAAACACTCCTAGGCCTAGAGCCTCTAGATTTTGCAGCTTTGTTGTTGGCACAATGCTGTGTTCGTTTTATTAAATTCTGATTCAAAATCACTAAACAAACAGTCCTTGGGAAGCTAGCCCTTTGCACCTGCTCCTTACAAGTGAGAAGTGGAGAAGGCAGTCTTTAAAAGGCTAAAGAAAAAAACTACAACAATAAACTTTAGACTTCCCTCAAAGACCTAGACAAACCCAATCATCCTTATAAGAGGACCGCTTAGGCTTCAGACAGGTAAAGGTCTAGTAAGGACTCAAGTTGGCAACAATAGTCTCACATAGTCTTAATTTCATGCTCAAAAACTAAAACTACCACCATCCTTCTTTTTTGTCCCTTATTTCTCTTGTCTAGAGCAAGGAAGCTGGGAGCAACAGGAGGCAGAATTCCTGTACTCTGGTGCACAGGAGAGTCAGGCCCTATAATCAGGCAAAACAAATCATTTTTCTCTTGACACTCAAAAACTAACTTAAAAATAACTTTAAAGGAAAAAAAAAAAAAAACAGGGAGACAGGAAAGGGGGTTTGAGTCACTTCTTCATGTAATTACCCTCCTTATTCCTCCTAGATTTGCCTTCCATTCCAATAGCACAACAAAGTGTAAAGTCCTCCTTTCAAATATCCACTCCTCCCTTACAGTAATCAATCATTCCATCTGATCTTCAGATAAACAAGGAAGGCAATGGAGTAACCAGGGGCCATTATTTACACCCTAACCTCAGACGAGCAGAGCTAGCTCCCAAAAGGAAAACAAAAATCAAAACTTGTCACTACTGTGAAAAACAGAAAACCAACCTTCAGAATACCTGACCCCTACCAGGCCAAGCAAACAATCTGCTCCCTTGGGTCCCCCACCTCGACGCCTCTCTCCAATCCCCGGTTCCTCACCCCCACCTTGTGCCCGGACACCGCCACCACAACACGAGGGGTGGCAGCGGAGCCGAAGAACAAAGAAGGCCCCCCAAATCTCCCCCACACCCGCACATCCCGGAGCCGAATCCATTGTTTATGCCACCCCACCCCCACCCGAGCCGCACCCGTCCCCCCTTCCTCCTAGGAGCGACTGGAGCCCCGGGACCAGTGCTCGCCGCCCAGGGCTGGGCCGAGCTGCCCCCGCCCTGCCCGTCGTGGCCCGCAGAGCCCACCCGGAGCAACTTGGCCGCGGCAAGGCGATGTGGGGTGACGCGGGGTGCCGACGGGACCCAGGCTGCTCTAGAGCCCCGACGGATCCATCCTCAGCAACATCTCCGCCCCCTCCTCCTCTGCTGCCTCCCAGGCTTCCTCCTCTCTTGTTGTCAGTTGGAATCAGCTGATCAGAGTGAACTTCTCCCAGCTCGGACCAACAGGAAGGCATGAGCAGCGCAGCCCAGCGAGGGAGGAGCGGCCGGGGGCGGAGCGCGACGGCGGTGGGGCGGGAAGGGCGCGCATAGCCTCTTGGGAGATGTAGTTTTCTAGGGGCGTCCCCCTGTCCCAAAGACTAGAAATACAGGCTCCAGATGACTACAACTCCCAGATGGAAGTGTCGTCCTTGCGAACAGGTGGTGCAGATAGGCGGACGAGCATTTCGGGACTTGGAGTTTCCGCTGCGACTGTGGGTTTCTTTTTCTTTTCTTTTTTTCTTTTCTTTTTTTTTTTCAGGTTGCAGCCCGTTGTTTAGGACAGTGGCCTGGAAAGAAGTTCTGTAAATTAAACAAATATTATGTATATGTAATCAGGAAATGGAACGGCACATTTTTATTGTAACTTTACTTCAGAAATGTGCAAAGTGGGAAAAGATGGGTTAACATTGCTTGAAGGGATATTAAGGTGCTTGAGGGTATTTTGTTTTCCTTTCAAAGGTATTCCACAAACCCACTGTTAATTTTGCTCCTGCTTTTTCTTTTTCTGTGTTTTTCCCTATATAGGCTTCATAACTTTTAATTTTTAAAATGTGCACACTGGAGCACACACTCAAAAGTAAACTTTTGAGATTACAGTGCCTGCTAATGTTAACACTATTATACTATTATTATCTGACGTTTTAAAAATAGCTTTATATTTGTTTAGTGCTTTCAGTTTTTCTCAGTTATTTCTTGGAACAACAATAAGAGAAAACAAGATGTGTGGAAAAGATACTGGACTGTAATGCCTAGGAAAGCTAACTATGTAGGTGGTTAGCATAAATCACTTAATCTTTCCATGAAATAAAGGAATTCTGTTGTGTAATTTCTAAAGGCTCTGCCAGTTTTATCTCGATAATGGTTAACCTGAGAGAGAAAACTAAGGTTAAGTTTCTTGCCAAAGTACACCGCAAATTATTGACAATGCTGGATAAGACCTCATCTTCTGACTTAAGCAGGACACTCTTTTGTGATCTGATTCAAAGAACATAATTAGATCAATAGTCAAGCCAAATATACAAAATAGTAAATGGGTTATGTATAATGGTTATGTTACTGAAAATCATCTCTTCGTGACAGAAAACCAACAGGGGACAGCCCCGGGGGTGTAGCTTTTTCTCCTACACCATATCACAAACCAGGGTGGTAAAAACTAAGCTATTTGTAGTGCTTTCAAAATTAAATGTTTATCTAAGTGGTGGTGGCTCATGCCCAGCCCTCCAGAGGCAGAGGCAGGTGGATCTCTGTGAGTTCAAGGAAAGCCTGGTCTGCAGAGTGAAATCCAGGATAGCCAGGGGCTGTTAACACAGAGAACTATCCTGTCTCAGAAAAACCAGAGAAAAGAAAATACATAAATGTTTATTAAAAATAAGGTGGTGCAGAGAGAGGAAAGACAGGATTTTAGAAGAGAAGTTAAGCTAACAAGTTTTAAACAAGCCTGAGATTAGTCAGCATGAAAGATTTTATTTCTAGGACTGCCTCTGTGATGGCTTTGCCAGGTTATTTCATAACCCTGTTTATAAAATGAAGATATTGGTCTGTGTATACAGCTCAAAAAGAGTGCTTTCCTGAAATATACAAAGGCCCTGGGCTTGATTCCCTCCACAAAAAAAAAAAAAAAAAAAAAAGGATATAATGCATTTTACAAACAAACATTTAGCATCTCAAGTTTTATTTTAGTTACTTTATTTTGTATTATGGCTGCTGGTGCATGTGCACATGTGAATGTTTAGGTCAGAGGTCATTTATTCCTCAGAAGTCATCTACCTTGTTTGTTTATTTTTTTTGTTTTGTTTTGTTTTTGTTTTAAGGGAGGGAGAAGTTGAGACAGAGTTTCTTTGTGTTGCTAGTCCTGTCCTGTAACCTACTCTGTAGACCAGACTGGCCTCAAACTCCTGAGACCTGCCTGCCTCTGCCTCCCAAGTGCTGAGATTAAAGGTGTATGCCACCACCGCCCAGCTGCACCTTGGTTTTTGTTTGTTTAGTTTTTTGTAGCATTTTTTCTTTTCTTTTTTCTTTCTTCCTTTCCTCCTTCCTTCCTTTCTTTCTTTCTTTCTTCCTTCCTTCCTTCATTTCTTTTTTTGAGATCTCTCTTAGCCTGGATATTACCAAGAAGGTTAGACTGGCTGGCCAGTGAGCATCTAAGATCTTCATGTCTCTGTTGGCCAGCACTGGGGTTTCAAGCATATTCCTGGTCTATTAGTAAGGGTTCTCTAGAAGCACAGAACCAATAGAATGTATATTTATTCCTCTGAATTTGAGGCCACCCTGGTCTACAGAGTAAGAAACTCTGTCTTAACCCCTCACCAAAAAGCATATTTATTAAAATGAAACTATTAGATTGGTGTATTAGAGTTTCTTTTTCTTTTTTTCTTTTTGTTTGTTTTATGAGGCAGGGTTTCTCTGTGTAGCTTTGGAGCCTATCCTGGAACTCGCTCTGTAGACCA